ATCTCTAAATAAATATATATACCTGGATACGGCCTCTCTGAACAGCTAGCTTATTTAGCAATCATCTTCTATGGCTAAACATGATTTAGGATGATGTTAGAAATATTACAAAGATGTGCCAAACCCTCATAAAAAATATATAATTTTTGGATTTCCATTTAAACCAGAGTTAGGGCCACACTAAGAATTTATTTTTCTTTAAATTCTAAGAATAAAACCATAAGATTATGAGAATAAAGTCATAAAATTGCTAAATTAAAGCTATAAAAGTAAGAGAATAAGGTCGTAACATAACACGAAAACAAAATGTAATATAAACATGATAATGTCCTAATATTAACAGGTTATGAATTAGCCTACTTTAATGTCAATTCTTCTTCTTCTTCCCTCTGATTTTAAACTCTTGGGCTCAGGCTGCAGTTTGGATGAGCTTTGCTGATAACTTTCACAGCTCCCGTCTTATTGGTCTTATCAAAATTATTTTATTCTCTCATATTCTGACTTTTTTTTTGATGATTTTGAAACCATTTAGAGCAGGAATGTTGAACTCATCAGGTCAGTTCAGCATTATCTAAATGTGTGCAGGTGTTTAAGTGAAACATGTAATTACGTTACACTGCACTGGTAATATAACCTCACCCTCATGTTATTTCAGCTGCTTAAAAAATAACCAATTCTTCTATTTTAAGTCCAGATAGATCTTTAAGGTCCTTGAGGGCCGGATGTATTACGCCAGATAATTTAGAGCAGAGGGTCCCAAATAAATTAGCCTGTAAACCCAAAAAATAAAAATACAAAACAGAGAATAATACATATTAAACTTCACTCTATATTTATTTAAACATCTACAGTGAATTTATTAATATAATTTGTTAAATAAAATTTTAAATTAACATTATTTAATAATTTTAAATAACTTTTTTTTTTAAAGGGACATTTATTTTATTGTTGATTTTGTTATTTAACGGTACTTTTAATATGTTTGAACATGTATTACTACTCTATCTATTAATCTCATAGTTAAATGAAAATGTATTGATTTAATTCCCATTATGTGTATTTTGGTATAATTAGGACCTTTATATACCTCAGAAATCGCTTTAAAAATATTATAAAAATCATCTCAGAAACCCCAAATTGGTATCTTGCAACACCCCAAGGGATCCTCCCAGTCCTCCCAGTTTAGAAACCCTTGATTTACAGGAAATGCACTGGAAAAACGCTCCAGAAATAAGTAGAAAGTTCTTAAATTAAGTGTATTTACCCTTAATTTGAGTACCGTAGGTAAATGAGATAGTTTGCCAATGGAATGAGTAATTTCCCCCCCAAAATAAGATAATTAGATAATATGCACTTGTAATAAGACAATGCAATTGTGTTTTCTTATTTTAGGTGTAAATTACCTTGTTCTATTGGCAAAATGTGTCTTTTACCTGATCAATCCAAGAGCAAATGCACTTATTTTAAGATTTTATCTGGATTTCCATTTTTTCCAGTGTGTTTTATGTTAATTAAAAATGGAAGTTTCTAAAACTGAACTTTGTCCCATTTTCACCTTTTTTAAAGATTAATTTAGGTTTACATTATCAATAAGCAACAATCATCAATATGTATAATGAATCTATACAATAAATTAACTTACTTTCTGAGATAAATGATAGAAAAGTTGCCTTTTTCTCGATATTCATAGTTTTTTGTTGTACCCGTATATTTACAACGACAGAGCATATTTATACATTTCAGCAACATGAACATGGAGAACTAAACGGTCCCACTGAGAACCTTTCACGTCTTCCAGCATATGAGTTCCTAATAAAGCTGAACCAAAGTGATTTCAATCACAGCCAACATGCAAACCTAATATACTTATCACAATAAATAAAATAAATAGCTGAGACACAAACAGCAGAGTCACATCTTCTCAGTGCTTCATTAAAGGGGAATTCAGCCAAACATCAGCTGCGTTAAAGTCTCCTGATTGGTGGATTTTTAATTTGTTGAGCAAAGAAAAATAAAACTCTCCCATCGCCTGACTGACACATTCCTGAGTCTTCTATTAAACATGTGCGCTGTTTACATTACAGCAACGTAAAGTGCAGAACTATTGATTTTATTTTATTTTTTACCAGACGAACTCGAGCTGCAACATGTCAGAACAAATGAAAGGACTATTGCACTTCACCAAAGGTCCCCGTCTGCATGTCTTCACCCTTTTATACTCAGATCAGATTCTCTGTGGGATTTTAGATCGGGGAAGTAAATTTAATTATGAGCTAGGATTTAGTTTGTCTTCATCCCATAAGAACTCAAATGTTTTCTTTTTGTTTTAGGTAATGGATGTAGAGAGTTTTTCCTCTCCACTGTCGCTGCAAGCATGCTTGGTGTGAGGGATTGCCTTCTAGTCAATGAGTCAATACAATCAACTGGTTTTACTTAGATAGAAAACTTTGAATTAATCTGACTGTACGATGTGGTGAACTGTAAAGTACCCTAAGATGACGTGATGTGAATTGGCGCTATAGAAATAAACTGAATTAAACATAATTGATGTAAGTTAGACCACATGTTGGTGCACTTGGTTTTCTTCCTTTTAGATGTTTGAAACTCACTCACCTATTACCCAGTATGAAACCATTAGACTCTTTAACAGCTAACAATTTATGCTATCATGAGAGTTATTTATTTTAAAACACCATGTCTGTGGTCATATTGATATAAATGATGAACTAATGTCTAGCGTAGACCAATAATATTTAGCCATGTTTTAATGATCTAGGGACCTAAAAATGTGCCTGGCTTCAAATTACATTTTAAAAGAACAGTTCAGCCTATTAGGTGAATTTGTGTTGAGTGTTTATACCTGCAATAAATAGGTATATTATCGTTTTTGATATGTGCGGGTTGATACTAGCTTAGGCCATAACCAACTGCTAAATCTGTGAAGTGGTTTCAATGTTTACATGGGAAAAAATTCTAATAATGAGGGAATGGTTGTGCTCATTAGCCCCCAATGTGATGAATGTATCTAAAATAGGAAAATTCTACATTTATCAGCCAGAATGCAATTTAAAAAACATCAATAAAGATCAAATTTGGCTAATTTTTGTCTCACAGTTGAAAGCGACAGGTCAAATCAATTTTATTGTTGTGTGTTTTAGAGTATATTTCCACATAGTGGTCTGAAATTGCTCTAAACTTTTTCATCATAGCAAAGTTTTCCATTTTGCTTTTTCAGGTATATTCTTTCTACAGAAACGGAAAATATGAGTTAACCCCTCCTTGTTTTTTGATGGTTTTCGGTCACGTCCATTTAACTCTTCAGCTAATATAACTGTTCAACACGAAACTGACACTTTAGATCATGACACTTTAGATTCTTAGGTTAAAAAAGGAAGGAAGTAGAATTTTAGTTAGCATACTCTGCTAACTAAGAGCATTCTTCATCATGTTAGCCAAAAACACTGCCTTTAATAAACAGAAGGAACTCTGCTTTTTTGGATCGATTATTTGACAGCACTCTGGGGGAAAAATTTAAATAGGTGCTAGAGTGACAGAGCAAATGTCAATAACTCAAAAGGATAACAAGAATAAAGTTGCTAGCTAACTAGCCATTAACGTATGCTAGATTTAGCGTCAACTTCCAACTTATTAGAGCTAAAATGTATTTCCCTATTTTTTAAGGAGATATGAGTTGTATTTGATAACCTCTTTGAACAGAGGCTCTTTACATCTCAGATTAGGTTTTGTGAAAATATCTCCTATTTAAGAAAACCGGAGCAACCAGTTTAGCTAAAAAGGGACTAGCATAAAACTGTGATATATAGACTTTTCAAGGAGGGAGTATTCTACACCAATAGAAATTTTTTAAAACATAGATTGTGAATTGTTGAGCTGTTCACTCTAAAAGTAAAAATAGGTAAAACCCAACAGCTTTTGTTCTGGGTGTCATGATTAGAGATGGGGATCGTTAATATTTATTGATATTGATACCTTTATCGATACTCCTTATCGATCCGAGTCTTTATCGATACCACTATCGATACTTTTCTGTTATTTGGTGGAAAGACGATGCAACAAAATTTTTTTAACAGAACTGGTATTGCTTTTATTGCTTAACAAGTGAGCATAACAAAAACGTTTCTAGCCTTTAATAAACATGGCTAATGTAATAGGCCACTTCGAAATGACATAAAACTAACTAGAATATATTTTCACAATTGTTGGTTAATGTATTGTCTACTGTCACTTTTCATCATGTTTTTAGTGATTAGGAAAATATTTAACAAATAAATAATTGTATTTTAAATTAAATGTAACTTTTAATAAATGTTGGCATCAGTAGTTTAATTATATATAGAGCAATATACAACTGTTTTACTCATGTTTCTCGCCAAAAACAAAATTTCCCGTTTTCTTTACGTTACACATGAACGCATCATGATAACCTAATTGTCGTTTTACTGAGCCAATCTGAACACATCATCACGCAGCACGTCTGAAACTTTATTTACTTTTCAAGCTAACTAGCTTGTATGCTGCCGATTACAACACGGATTTCACAATTACTATTTTTAACTGACCGGACAAGCTACAAAGTCTGTGTGCGCGCTTACCAGTGGTACTCTGAGTGGATGATGAAGACGTGGTGCGGCGGCAGCAGCAGCAGGAGGAGGAGGAGTCTTTTCTGTTCAGCCATTCTCGAGTCGCGAGCAAAGTTAACTGCCAGACTTCACTTGTTTTACTTTTAATATCTGTTTGCTTACAATTTCATTCCAAAACATTGGTGGACACGCTGCAGTGATTGGATTGATTAGATTTAAATGCTGTGACGCGACTCGAGGGACACACAATTATGTTACAGGACCTCCGGGAGAAAAAAAAAAAACGACCAGACTCGATAGTGGTATTGATAAGCCCAAACGTTATTGATTTTCGGGTTTTGAAAAAAGTGGAACCGGGTCCTTGATGGAACCGGGTTTCGATCCCCATCCCTAGTCATGATTAGTCCCTTTTCCTTACATGAGCCGCTTTAACCCAAACTTTGAGCTTTAGGGTCCATGACTAAAAACAAAAATGAATCTTTTCAGTTTCAAAATAATTTTTCAATTCCAAATTATTCATGAACTATATAATTTTTCTGTTTATCTTGACTGCCCCTTTTTTTTTTATAATAAAAGCTTAACCCTATAATGTAAAATAGTAATAAAGCAGAATTTCTTTGTATCTTTTAACCGATGTTAAAAGGACTGTGTGTTCTATACGTAGAGTGAAAGTGTAAAGGGTTTATATCTCATAAAGTTAACCTTCCATCAGCTTTTTTCAACAAGGCATAATTTACTTGTTTTTGTCTTGGGAAAAAAGCTAAACAAGCAAACCCAGTGAGCCTCTAAGCATTGTGTCGAAGCAAACACATTGAACTCTGAACGAGATTAAATAAAACGAGACAAACTACAAACTGAAAGCCTCTGATCAGGCCCTATTAGGCCCTATCCCACACATAGTAGCATAGCACACACCCACACACTTATTTCATCTAGCCAGTGTTTGCATATTGTACTGTACATCTATAAATGGCGCATTCGGCTGGTCGTTTGTAAACTGGCAAACTCGTATACTTATGTGTCACATGACAAGCTCATATATACAAGGTAAATGCATTCAGGGTGCGTGCTTGGGGTGAAAAACAAAAGCAAGGACCAATGAAATCTGAGGTAGCAAATTCAACAACGAAAAACTGGAGTTCCTTCATGCATGAGCCTTAACTGGGTGTTAGAAATCAGCGCAGACCTCCTCACTGCAGGGCATCAGCTCATAGAGAAGCTAATGGAGCTGTTAATGGGGGGCCTGCTTGGTGAAGCTTTTTTGGTCTACTGCTCTTATTTAAAAACCTTGTAAGTTTGCCAGTTTACCTGTTGCTCACACAACCTAAGCGTTGTCGCTTGTGTTCAGCTCTCTAGCAAATGTCAACATTAATGATAGGATAGCTGATATGTTCTTCGAGGAAATTCATGGCTTGTAACCCTCCAGTTCCCACCCCCTGAGGTGCGGACCAGCCAATCCAAGGGGCTCTTGGGCAGAATACAAATTAAAAGATTAGCTCCACCTCTTTTAGGGGGAGGGACATCAAGGGGGACGGAACCAATGACAGAACGGGACAGCAGAGTTCCTGTTAGGCCAGCTAACACTACAATTCACCAACCGGTCAGCGAGTTTTTTTCGGAAGCGCCTTGGACATATATAGAAAGAATAATCAGTGTATCAAGGTTTTCAGTGCAAGACGTAAAATGGCTACTTTTTGTTGTTGTTCTGTCCACTGTTATCTCTTTCTCTTTAATTGTCCAACACCGGACACAGCAGTAAAGGGATTCTTCAATAAGTTAGTCATCTTTTCAAAGTAAGTGAGAAGAAAGGTAATCCTTAGTGGCTGGCTGAAAGGCCCAGAACGGACTGGCCAGGGTTAGCCTCTGTTCGGCTTATGGTTTTGGTTAAAGGTGTACCGCTTTGAAGATCAGAAAGATCAAGTTGTCTTGAGGGGGACTCAGAGACAAAGACTGAGGCAGAAGGAGAAGTTCTTGACCCTTTTCATGGCATTATTATGGCCAAAAAGGGCATGGTTGGTAGATCCACCGGTTGCCTCCTGATCTTCTACCTTCCTTGTTGAACAATTGACAGATCTCTTCACCCCCTCCTCTATCACATTGCCTTAGCTCCCCCCTGGGTCAGAGCCATGTCTCTGTGGTGTCCGTGAATCCAGAGGAGTCTGTGAGTCTTGAAGAGAAAGCCTTCTTTGGGTCTCAGAATCCAAAGGTGATACCGCCGTCCCAGCTGCTGGCATCAAATGCTCCCCTGACGCAAATCCCAATTCTCCTTCTAAACTTGTTTCCCCATGTGTCACACTTCCTTCCGCCATTACTCCAGCCCCACTGCCAAGTCCAAGCTCCAGCTTCAGGTGCTGTCCCAAGCCGCTTAGTCCAGAGGATTCAGGTTGTTCCTGTTTGGGGATGATAAAAGAGGTGTCCTGGGGAAGAACAGAATCAAGTGTCTTTGCTGGGAACTCTTCAAAGTTCTGGGAGTCCAAGATCTGCAAGAAAAAAAAAAACTCTGTTAGGCACTGATTGTCATTAAAATACTTGGAAAATCAAGAGTTTATTGTTTAGGGCTTTGTTGAATGACGATTAATGGTATATTAAATTAAAATCAGGCTAGCTAGCTCAGTTAAATGACAGTTATATACATTTATGTAAAATATGAAAGTTGTTTAAGTTAACCAGGAAGTAACCATAACTATGGTTTACAACAGGACCGCATCTGATGTATCATGAACTACTTTAGTTTTGTCAACCCGTTAACACAACAACCAGGGAGGCAAATGATCAAATAAAAAATGTACATCGTTATAGTTGAAGTATTTATTGTGCCAGATGTTTTTTAAACTAACTGAACAAAAACTTGTGTTCTTAGACATTATTGGACAAATTTATAAGATAAAAAAACATGGGCCTACTAGATTACTGAAAAGAAAAGATCCAATATTAAACATGGTTTCCTTTTGAAAACTATAATTTAAAGAAAGGGTATGTTGCCCTAATATACTGTGCGACTGATTACCACTGCTTCAACGGTACAAGTATTTGTTGTTATAACCGATTTAAAAAAAGGTTTGGTTTACTGAACAATGTTGTTTTACATAATTAATCACATAATGCAGTGTACATTATTGCCCGAATAATACACTAATTTATTTAATCTGAAAATATAATTTTGCTATATTAACTTTTGATTTCTCTTTTAGATTCAGATTTAATCATATTTCAATTAGTTTTTCTTTTTTTTGGACTGTGTAAATGTTTCCATTGTTTCTATTCTACTCTAATATAAAATAGAGCCTTCATTAAACTTGGTATTTTTTCCGAACTGAGGCATGGAGTCAAATTTTGGCAAGTTGTGTTAAGGAGCGCAGCCATCTTACACGAGGTGCCTTGCTTAAGAAGAAAATTTTGCTTTAAAAGTCTTCAGAACATCATCTCAACTCAGACAATAGTTTATCTAACATTGATACTGGGACCATAGCAGTCTGCTTTTCATATTAACCCTTTCCCAGTAACAGCACTCACAAGGTAGTCTTAGCGATGTTTTATATTGAAGATAGTTAATGGCGTTCCCTGGTTTGGTGCTTCAGAAGGATCTCCCCTTGTCATGTAAAATATAACATCTAGAATCTCTTGTATTTGGCTAAATGGTGTGTTTGGCTAAATGGTCTGTATTACATCTATATTATATCTTGGAATCCTGAGGTTCTGAATTCAAAAACCCCACTCCCACAGACTACAACTCTGGGTCCCTGAGCAAGACCCTTAAATCTACACTGTTTCCCGGGCGCCGCACATTGGCAGCCCACTGCTCCCAAGGGGATGGGTTAAATGCAGAGAGTTCATTCGTTTCTCTGTACTTGTGACAGTGGAATGACAATAAAAAGCTGGAATCAAGGACCCATTTTCTGTTCTGTGATTCTATGCAGATGACGAATAGTTGTATTTCAGTATACATTTTGTCTATAAAGTATAACTCTACTGTTTTTTCTGGATGACACTTCACTACAGAAATAGAGCTAAAGTCTTAAATCAAAAGGCTTTCTAGTAACTAGTATGGAGAAACATACAGTAGCTAAGCTTTCATCTCTGCACTGGCTTTCAGTAAAAGCTAGAGCTAATGTTGAGATTTGACAATTGACAAATGGCCTTTTGTTTCTTCTATTGGTCAAAAATGGCGGTCCTTTTGCCATATGCCCAGCATTCCCAGGTAGATATTTGCTTAATGTCACAAAGGTTTAAAGAAAGAATGCTGGTGAACAGGCTTTTCCATTCTGTTCACTTCAACAAACAGTTTTGTTACTGGCCTGTAATGGGTTTACGGATCCCTTAATGTCCGAACGCTCACCTGTGATAGGGAAGCCAGTGTGTCTGTTTCCAGAGGAGGGATGGGTGGAGCTGCTCTGTCTCCTGGTCCTGGGCCAGGGTAGGGTGAGGGCTGCAGACCAAAACCATCAAGTGTAAATGAACTATTTTATAAAAACGGATCTAAAACAGTTTATATTGTGGACCAACCACGTGGTTACCTGAGGAGGTGAAGACACAGCACTGTAAGCAGGAGGAACCAGGGCCATCTGTCTCTGCAGGAGCTGCATGATCACACCAATGTCCGCGGACATGCGGCTCTCCAACCTGTATACAGAAAGGAAAGGCATTGGTCCTGTAGTCCTAAAATGTTAATGTTATTTTAAATATTATCAGGGAACCCGAAAGAAAAACTATAAAAATGTTGAATATGAAGAAAAATATCTAATGATTTTCATCTCGATACTAAAAAAAAAACTTTTTTTCTGCATAATGAGACATGATGCAGAAAAGTCAGTAAAGCTGACTTGAAACATTGCGAAGAAGAGGTTTAAGGTTTTAATGGTGTTCGACTGGGCTAAACCTTGTCCAGCTGGTAAAAAATTTAAATATACATATTTTCTTTTTCGGTCACTAAACACACCATGTGGAGGTGCTCAAAGTATCAGAGAGGCATTTAAAAGCATTTCCATTTTTGGCCATTTGTGGCATTTTTGGGAGCAGTCGTCTGCAAGTGTAATGATCTTGGCCTAACTGGCCTAATTACTCATTCCATTCACCTGTCTAACTCAGTAGGGTTTTTCATCATTCCTCATCTGATCCACCTACTCCTGCCTCTATTTAAGGCGCCTGCATCCAGTCATCAGAGTCAAATTACTCTTGTTCTCTCTTGCCAGTGGTGAGTGTTTTTAGAGTGCCTTGGTGTTTCTGATTAACTGATTCTGACCTGTTCTGCCTCTAAACCACTGAGCTTGCCTGTTCCCACCTGAACTGCCTTTGTCCTGGACATCTGAGCCTTTTAATAAATGCTTTTTGAGTAATCCCACTGTCTGTCTTGCCTGAAAACTGAGTCCTTCTCTTCTGGATCTTGACAACAAGATGTCTAATGGTAGTCAATGTGCTCATATAAGCCATCAACATAGGCTGAAGCTGTGGCATGGAACAGAACAGGGAAAAGCTTCTTCACATCACTGCATCTGAGGCAAACATTAATCATGCATGTAGCTACTCGACCACAGGAACCCTGAAGTTTCACTCACAGTTCCTAATTAAGTTTGAATTCCCACTTCTGTGTACTGTATGCTCTGCAAAACAAGTAATAATGTCTTCAAATCAGTAAATTTTGTTCTTAATTTCAGCTGGTAAATGACCTTTACATTCATCAAAACTGGATTTATTTCACTGTTATTGTGGCCTTCTATCATGACAGAACGCTGGAATGAACGTATTACAGCCGCTCTGGGACTTTTCACTAGGGATATATTTGTCAGAGTTTTCGAATGTTTGTAGTTGGTCTCAGAATGCAGAAGCGGAGGCTGAGTAGTTTTCTTGTCGATTTATTGTGATGATGGCAGCAAAGAGATTAATCCAAAAAGTAAACAGAACACAGGAACTAAAGTAAAGAAAGAAAGATGGTAAGAAACAGGGATTAATGAAGACATGAAGTAAAAACAAACTGTAGGTTAGGAGTATATATACACCGAGGAGGAGACAGGACAATGATTGTAGCAATGATCTAAGAGGGGGCAGGAGGGCAGAGAAAGAACTAGAAGAAAACTAAGAGGAAAGAAGGTGACATTAGGAGGCAGTGGAGAGTAACTAAAAATACAAAGAGGCTCCAAAGAGAAAAGAAACTAACAACCAAGTCAACTAAAAAAACAAATTTTCCATAGAGGAACATAATCTAAAGATAACAGAACGATTGACTATGACAAACTAGACCAAAAAAAAAAAAAGGAATACCAAAAATGCGGAAAAGAGATAACTTAAAAAAAAAAACAAAAAACGAGGAAGAGTAAAACTAAAAACTCTAAAATGATATAAATATTGGCAACAACACATTAAAACATAACACAAATGAAAGCATAACTGAGAACCCAGAGTGAAAACAGAACCAGAACGGCAGATCATGATATCAGTGTTTTATTTGGTCAAAATGGATACATGAGCTGGTTCTATATGCAAAGTACATCATTGATTATCTGGTATGAGGTATAAACAATGTTAAAACACTAATTTATGACATAATTAAGCTTCCATGAGAGTGAAAAAAGTTTGGAGGCTAGAAGAGGCGTGTGATTCTGCTCAGTTTGGTATCCGTGTTAAATCAGGGTCAGTATCATTACATTGTAATATATAAGGCTGATAAAAAACTTTTGACCTTCAGATGTTTATTCTTTAATTAAAATCTAGGACAGAATTTGGACAATTCTGTCACTGTCCAAAAAATGTCCAAAAAACACAAATTGTTTGCATTTTTTAATCAAATTTAAAAAGTGCAAAACAATTTTTTTGGCCGATCAAAACAAATCCTTTATATGTTGATAGTGTTAAGAAACTGCAACACAGAAATAATACAAACTTTTCCAAGAACTAAGTTATTTTCATGATTTTGTCTAAAATAAAAAAATTCTAAAAATAATCTGGACAGAGCGGAGATAATAATCATAACTTAAGGAGTATGCATTGCAAAAATATTTATTAAAAGTTTACTAAAATGAATTACAAGTTTACAGGTAAAAATTCCAAATTTACGAGTAAGAATCTACAAATCCAGAAGAAGCAGTAACACTGACTACCAGCTGGTGGCAGTGATGTAAGTGGAAGTTTTTGCCAACCGCCTTCAAATGAGAAAAAGAGGAAGAGGAAGAAAACAGAACTGGTTAATAAACATTATTCTGCGCACGCTTTGAAAACATTTCAGAAAAGATATCTAATCATCAGATATCTACGCATTGATATTCTATTCAATGCTTTTTTTGGGTCCTCTTCTTCTTTTGTAAGTGTTAATGGTGAACATTTGTAACGGCATTAGCGCCATCAGGTGGTGAGGAGTGTTACAGCTTCATCAGAGGATGTAGTTTCATTTTTCAGTCAGTAAATTGTACTCGTAATATTGCAAAGTTGAAACTTTGTAACTCGTATCAATGACTTTTAAATTAGTATTCTGACAAATGAAACACCTGATGTCGCAAAACTTAAATAATAAAATAAAATGTAATAACTGAAGTTTTTTAACTGAAGTCACATTGGAGAAATTCACACTCTGCATTTAACCCATCCCCTTTAGGAGCAAAGGGCTGCCATTGTGCAGCACCCGGGGAGCAATCAGGGGTTAAGGGTCTTGGTGGGCGGAGCCAAACTGACCTGTTGAGCTGTTTCTGCAGCAGGTCGAGGCGCGTGTCCAGCTGGCTGCGCTGCTGCCGGCTCAGGCTGTGCAGCGGCGTGTTGAGAGGCGGGGGGGAAGCCAGGCTGCAGCTGGGGACCTCCTGGTACTGACCGCCTCCTCGGCTCTCTCCCCAGAAGCTGAAGATGTTGGACACCCCTGAGAAAGCCCCTGAGCGAGGCGTGGGGGAGGGGGACCATGGATTCAAACACTGGCAACGGATGACTTTAACATTTGGTGACGATCACTGGGGGGGTGGGGTGTTTGGTGGTTTACCTGAAAGGGCGTTGCAGGTGTTCCCTGTCTTTGGGTCTCCCTCAGCCTCTGTGTTATCACTGAAGTTTCTGGGTGGGGCTTGAGCCTTGGGGGGTTCCAGCATCGCGGGGGGTGGAGCGAGGCCGGTGACAACTGGCTCCTCCCCCTGTGAGAGCAGAACCAGAGCAGCGTTCATACAATGCCAGCATAAACAACACCACTAAGGCTAGTTTCACACTGCAGGCGAATTATGTTGTGAAATCTGATTCTTCTTCGTGGTCGTTCACATTTCCAAATATAAGCGGCTTGTATGTGATCTCCTGTGCGAAATGCAATCGTAAAACTTAAGTGTCCCGCATGCGCAATAGAGGAAGCAATGACGTCACAACTTGGGAGTGTTCTCAGTGTTCACTGAAGTAAACATGGATGAAATGCTGGAGCTCATCTTGTGATTTAGAAATTTTATTTCTTTCCAAACTTCATCCAGTGCATTATCAACAAAATATTTTCAAGAAGATCATAAAGAAAGGCTGATCCCCGCATTATCATTCACCGTGGTTGTTATTCTACCTGCTCCTGCATTGGCCGACACAGAATAGGGGCCTTTGAGTTCAGTCACATTCATCCGACCTGGACGTTCACACACAGATCACATTTGAAAAGATCGGATATATATCCTCTCCTGTGGAACCAACTACCAGTTTTAGTCCGTGAGGCAGACACCCTGTCTACTTTTAAGGCTAGGCTTAAAACTTTCCTTTTTGATAAAGCTTCTAGTTAGAGTGGCTCAGGTTATCCTGAGCTATCTCTATAGTTCTGCTGCTATAGGCTTAGACTGCTGGAGGACATAGGGACCCCTTTTTCATCATTCTGCTTCATTCTATCTCTATTCTCCCACTCTGCAGAATCTGTTAGTTCAATCTCTAACGTTCTGCTCTCTCTGCTTTTTCTCATAGTAGCTTCATCTGGTCTGTTCCTGTTTGGCTGTGACTCCATCCTGGAGAGAAATATCAGCTGTGCTGCTGCCATCAACACCTTTGTTTCTAGATGTTGGAGCTTGGCCTGTTTTACAGTGTAGTCCTGTTTCTCTGACTGTGACTAACTGGATGTGCTCTCTTCATCCTCTGACATGGGAGCTGGCTCGGAGCTCGTCTGCCTGGCTGTGTGTTTCCTGGACGGGGCCGCCTGTGGAGCTGGTTGACAGTTGCCTTTTGTATCTATGCTTCTTTTTCTATGTCTGCTTCTGTCTCCTTGAACCCCAGTGGGCCTCAGCAGATGGCCGCTCACACTGAGCCTGGTTCTGCTGGAGGTTTCTTCCTGTTCAAAGGGAGTTTTTCCTCTCCACTGTCGCTACAAGCATGCTTAGTGTGAGGGATTGCTGAAGAGTCAATGAGTCGATGCAATCAGCTGGTTTTCCTTAGATAGAAAACATTGAATCAATCTGACTGGATGATCTGGTGAACTGGAAAGTGACCTGAGATGACATGTGTTGTAAATTGGCGCTATAGAAATAAACTGAATTGAATTGAATAAGGGATATATTTTTTTCAAATGCGACCCAGGCCACTTGGCTGTCATGTTAAGATTAGGTAAAGTTTGGATATTGGCAATAAAATATGATTTGGGTCCTTTAAGGCTGCAGTGTGAACGTAGCCTAACACACTGTTCATACTGACGGATACCTCGTCACCGCTGGAGTGTGATGACACCGAGCCCCGATGGCCCCCCCATGGTCTTTTAGCAGCTTCCTCCTTCTCCCGATGGTTGCCTGCTGGCTCCCTCTGTCTTCGCCTCGAGGATTTATGGGATTTTTTATATTCTCCGGCGTCTGCATCGTCTGGTGATCAGGCCCAGATCAGAAACATTCATATTATCTCTCATTTTCCCATGTAAGCAGCTGATTTTGTTCAGATTTCACCAACAAGTTAAACTAAATATTGCCCTGGTGAAAACATTTCTGATTTATTTTTTATCAAACAAGCAATTTTCTTTTCTTCTAGGGATTCTTAAGCTATATTATGTAATAAAGTAATACATGTTACAATACATGAGAGCTTTAAAATATCATTAAAACATGACAACAACCACATGTTAATGCTTTAAAGTGTAATTTCATCCTCAGGTTTATTATTATTTAATAACTTATGAGGCGTTAAATTAAAATATAAATATATTTTACTGTCCTTTATGGAATGAATTGAGTCTCCTTATTTTTGCAGGCAAAGAAAACATTTAGTAAAAACCTTTAAGAGTAACTTTGCTTTTTTTAAGCATTTTTAATACATTTTTTTATTTTTTCAAATGTCATTTAAAAAAAATGCTTACAAACGTATTTTATATGTAAGTTTTTCGAATTTCATTTCTTGGAAAACTCCTTTTTTTAAACAGATTTTATGTTTTCAATCTTTAACCAAAATATCCCAAAATATTTTTTTACAAAGCCTGACTTTGCCTGCAACCATATTGTAACAAAATTCATAGTACATTATGTATCAAACCTTTTTCTGTACGTCTTCTAAAGGATAACTTCCTCCTGCGTAGTTTGTTGAACCCTCCTCCTGTGGAGTCATCACTGCTGGGGGAGCCTGGGATCATGTTGGTCTGGAACAAACACCAACCATCATGAGTTCTTCAGATCTACCACTTCCTTCCTGTCCAGGTCAAAGCTCCTAAACTCACGTCTCTGAGGTTGAAGGTGATTTCCAGGTTGTTCCAGAAGTGTTCTCCAAACTCTGGATACATGTCCAGTACCTCCAGGATGTCTTCTCTCAGAATCTTATGGAGGTCACAGTATGTCAGAGCTCTCACATCAGCGTTGGATTTACCCGGGCGGGGGTACAGGTTGATGGGTTCACCGAATATGTCGTTCTTTCCTGCAGGAAGATGAAAAAAGAGGAAGCAGATCATTAGCCGCCGTGTGAGCAGCATCGCATTCTACTGCAAAGCTCTGCTGCAGACAATAAAAAGATTTATTCTGTCCTCATCAGTTTGGAATGAAACTATAGTTGCCAGTAGATGGCGCCAAAACTTAAAGCTTTAACAGCAAGATCTGAAAGGGGAGACTGGAAAAAGAAATCTAAAAAAATAAGTAAAAAAATTCTTAAACTAAGTGTATTCCCCGTAATTTGAGCAATTAAATAAGATGATCTGCCATTTGAATTAATATTTTTGTTCTTACAATAATATTAATTAGATAGTATGCACTTTAGATAAGAAATTTTAGTTGTTTTTACTTATTTTTAATGTTAATTACTTTATCCCACTGACACATTTTCTCACTTGCCTGCTCAAAACATGGACAAATTTATCTAGATCTACATTTTTTTTTTCATGAAAGAAATACATGTAAAAAAAGACAAGTTACAGTATGTCCCAGATTTACAGCATAATATACTGGACTAGGGATGAATTATTAAACTAGGAATGCAAGAAAGATAAGTTCTGCTGCTCCTCCATACAGCACAGCTAAATGTGCCTATTGAGGTGAGAATTTAAGTAGTTTATTTAGTGTTGATATTTACAATAAGAACGACGGAAATTTCTTTCTGCTTCATTGGATCCATTAAACAGTAGAAATAATCTGGGCTCTGCATCCATTCATGATTCTGCTCCAGCATGTCTCCACTATGACATTATGTCTACTGCAAATAACCAGTGAGGCTCCGCTGTAGAGTGACCAGTGGCGCCCTCTAATGGACAAAGGTAACACTACAACACTCAGTTAATATGTTGGTGAAGATTCTCAGTCATCCAGGTCATAGTCATTCCAAAAAAGTTAAAAAAATAATCCACTGGACCTTGTTTCCAAGTTTGAAGACGTTTTGCTTCCCATCCAGGAAACTTTTTCAATTCAAAATGTCAGGAATAGTGTTGAGTTGGAAGCTTTATAGAGCGGACCAAAACAAAAGCCTTGTTTTGGCTTAGAAAACATGCAAATTGAACCGGAAGAATGGGACCGCCCCTTTGGAATGGGGGGTTGTTTGGGTTCTTTGTCAGCCTGCAATACCCCATACCCGATGGGGGTGGGGTTGTGATGATAGCTGAGAAAAAAATCAACTAAATTGCTGGATTGTAGGTTTCTGAAAGCTGGAACCTGAGTCCAGTCCCTCAGTTTAAGGTTGGTTTCTCTTTCTTAACAAAGATGGCTTCCTTCACGCCCCTCTCAAACCACCTGTCTTCTTTGTCCTAAATGTGAACATTCTGGTCCTCCAAAGAATGTCCTTTGTCCTTAAGGTGTAGATGGACAGCAGAGTCTTGTCCAGAGGAGGGCGCTCTTCTGTGTTGAGACATTTGTCTGTGGAGAGGCTGTTTGGTTTCTCCAAAGTAAAGATCAGAGCATTCCTCACTGCATTGAACTGCAGACAGCACTCCGCTCATATTTGGTTTGGGGGTTTTGTCTTAGATTGCACTAGCCTCTGTTTAAAGTTCTAGTTTGGTTTGAATGGCAGTACATTTCAAACAAAGAACCCAAATGACTCCCCATTCCTAAGGGGTGGACCTGTTCTTCCAGTTTAATTTGCATGTTTTCTAAGCTAAAACAAGGCGTTGATTTGGTCCACTCTATAAAGCCTCGAACTCAATGCTAATTCTGCCATTTTGAACTGATAAAGCTTCCTGGATGGGAAGCGAAACAGCTTCAAACTTGGAAACAAAGTCCAGTGAACTTTTTGGGAAATATTCAGTTAATCACAAGAACCAATTCTTATCTAAGAAACCAGTATTTGACAATTAATTGCAAGTCAGTCGTTGGTTTCCATCTCTACTCTACACCCACCATGTTGATGACCTGGTCATACCAAAGAAATAGTACAGCCATTCAGTATTGGTCCACATAACTCCTCTGTTTTCCTGCAGCAGCCTGGACACTGTGAACTATACAGCCTGTCCGCTGCAGACATCAGCAATCCTCTTTAAAGAGAGATTGTTGATGAGATTCCTCAGTAGCAAAGCAAACATTGTTAACTGTGTGTAAACATGCAGAGAGCATCTGCAGCAACACAGAGAGGCTGCAGTCTGACAACAAACATGGCTTCCACGTTAAAACCTAAAATACGTGTAAAATATGTGTTCTTGTTACCTAAACCGATACCCATGTTCATAACCCTAGTAAAGCAGAATGGGGTCATTAGCTGAACTTGATTTTGAGGCTTTCTATTTCTACCAATAATATCTAAAACTCAAATGATCGATCGTTCGCACACCTACTGTTAACTCAATTAAGCTCTTTGTCTTTTTTAATATTAAAAACAGTTCTACTTCCACTGAATAAATAAATATCCACTGTCATCCAGTTTTTACTTATACAAAGTTTATAGCGTTTAGTTTCATTTTAACATTTGTGTCGAGTAAATAAGATCGCTCAACACTGATTTCAGCTAACTACCGTATTTTCGCGACTATAAGGTATAAACATCTTTTTTTTCCCTCAAAATGTGCGGCGCGCCCTGTAGTGCGGTGCCCCTATGTGTGTTGTTACTGCAGATGTTGTTGAGACCGCCATGAGAACGTTAAAGCGGGAGAAGTGAGGGCGTGGACGGACAGAAACTGCCGCCTATGGTGATTTAAGAGAAAGACTTTGCCTAAAGAGACTTTTCCAGCTGGAGTCGTTACTAAGGCAAATGAAAGGGCTGGATGGATGAGGAGATGATGAAAGCGTGGCTGAGGGACGTGAATATAAGGAGACCAGGTGGTTTTTTCCCACTCATCACCATCGCTGTTAATCTGCGTGGTGAAACAAATGAACGCTGTGCTCGCTGTTATTCCAGGAGGTCTGACAAAGGAACTTCAACCGCTCGACATCGGTGTGAACCGGCCGTTCAAAGTAAGGCTACGAGCGGCGTGGGAGCGATGGATGACAGACGGAGACCACAGTTTCACGAAAAGTGGAAGGCAGCGGCGGGCAAGTTACGCCACAGTTTGCGGATGGATTGTAGATGCTTGGGCTAACGTGTCTGCTGGCTCTGTTGTTCGAGCTTTCGCAAAAGCCGGCATCATTTCCAAGGAGCCGCGCGCAACTCGGAAATTAAGGCCCCGTCCACACGAAGTCAAAACGAACACGAAACGCTAATATTTTCCAGAACGTTTGTCTTAAAGACGGAGACGTAAAATAAATGTGATCGTCCACACGAATGCATGAAAACGCTGCAAAATGTATGCCAGGCCTGTAAGTGGCGCTGTGGTGCCAAAGCAAAAATAGGCGAAAACAGGCAACGAAATGTTGGGCATGTGCATTAATATTTATACAACAACCAAACCGGAAAACCGGAAAATGGCCCTGCGGGTCCATTTTGGTGGTTCAGTCAAATTCAGGTGCTGAACTATGTGGTCGAAATTGCTCCGTTCTTCCTGGAGATATTCCAGAAGAAGAAGATTCTGTTGTAAGCCCGACAGCAGGGTGAGGAGCATGAGCAGCAACCATTCAACACAGTTGAACACGGCGCCATTGTTGTTGCGATGCGGTTAGAGCTTAAAGATGGAACCGCGAAAACTGCGTTTCAAAATCTTGCCACTCTGAAGGCTTAATAAAAAAAAAATTGTTTACAGACCCCCGAAACGCCGGCTTCGTATGGATGAGAGGCTGGTTTGGTGAAAAATTTGTGCGTTTAGGCCAGGGTTCGGCTTCGTGTGGACGGGGCCTAAACAGCTGTTTAATTCAGAAACAGAGGATGATGACTTTGATGGTTTGATTAATACTTTGTAATAAATACATGAATAAAGCACAAATATACTCAGTTTTGCCCCCGCTCTATTTTTAAATACGCAGTAGAGGTATTTAAACGTAGTAGAGGATATGTACCTGTAAATAAAACCTGCGCTCTATAATCCGGTGCGCTTTATGTGTGTGTTAAATACAGTAATGGCACAAATAACTGAGAGTGCGCCTTTAAGTACGGTGCGCCTTATGGTCGTGAAAATACGGTATGTGTATTTTGGTCGTTGTGACTTGCTAGGCTAAATTTCTTCCTTGTTAAGCTACTCGCTACCTTATTGTTCCGTGTTGTATCTTTGGTACATTTACTGATAAAAGGAACAAAAAAAGTGGAAAACACAGAAATTAAATAGAATAAACCTTTAGGGCAGCATGATTTAATCAAGAAGCCTCTTTATGCAACTAGAATTAAGGTTTGGGTGCAGAAACTCATGAAGCCATGGAATGTGGTTCGGCCCCTTCTAGGTTTTATCGCCCCTTTGGCAAGAAACCAAGGTGTTTTTACTGAGTGCTATTTAGTTTGATGACCAGACAGGTGTTCGATCTTTAGACTGATTCGGTTTTTTAGTTAAACGAAATGTAAGTATGATACAACTTTAAATAATATAGAAAAAAGTAACTTGTTATATTTTACCCAAGATGGCGACGACCACATCTCCTCTCAGGATCTCTATGGATCCCCTGGATATGAAGTAGAGGGCGGTGAGGACGTCCCCGGCGTGGACCAGCGTGTCACCGGGGGGTGCGTGGGTGGTCTTGAACTTCATGGCCAGCGCCCTGAGGCAGCCCTTAGTGGAGCCTTTAAAGGCCTTACAGTTCTGCAGCAGCGTTCGGTTCAGGTGGAGGCAGATATCTGCCTGGAGACATTCAGGGAACCCTTTGAGCACCTGGAGGTAGTGAGGAGAGAAAGATGCACAAAGACAAAGAGAGGAGTGGGTGAATTAAAGAGGGAGGATAACAAAGACAGAAAAAGGAATCTTCTCATTGAAATTCAGTTAGAATTAACAATATGATGTTTATTTGCTAAATGTCAGAATAATGAGAAACATAAATAGTTTTTGTCACACTAGATATATCTTTCAATATCGGTTTGCATCCATGGGTAACTTCCTGGTTGTTGGTTTAGAATATGGCTTAGTGTTAGAAATATTTTATTTATACTCCGTTCGGGTTTCATGGGTTTTGTTCTAATGAACTACTATGATGTATAATGTGTGATTCATCTTTTATTAACTCTTGCTAAAGATCGTTACAGATAAAGGTCATGAAACGGACGGGTTGTGAAAGAGGCCTGAACATCCTCTATCACATGTTTCTTCTAAACATGTGTTCTTGGAACAATTCAATTGTAAAACAACCACATGCTTTGTTTAACATATGTGCTGAGGTTTAAAGTAAGATCCTTTTGTTTCCCTTCCCTTTAGTTAACCTCAGCTGGTGTAATTAGGGACATCCCCTTTTCTTCAGTAAATAGCAAGGAGAAAGCTGAAGACTGCAGAGTGGGGTGGAGATTGTAAACTCTGCAGTCTCCTTCCTATTCTCCTCGCGAGTAACTAAATTAATTGTCTCTGTGCCTACTTTCTTTCCCTGCATGTATGTATGATGTTTAAGGTGCTTAGACCTGACACTTAGTATGGATCTTTAATGTAAAAAATACATTCATTTCAGTGTCTTACTTTTATATAACATTTAAACCTCCAGCCACTAGGTGGAAGCACACAAACCAAGGGCCTATTATTAAGCTGCTCTGCACAAGCTGCAGCAGAGCAACAACAAGATCCTGTGAAATTTTACAGAGCTAGAATATTATAAACAAAACAACATAAATCGTTCTTGTGTCAATTCACAGCGCTGTTATTGACATGATGCTATCATCCAGGTGTCAGTCAGAATAGGCTTCTTAGTTATTTCCTGGTATCACCTTTTAAATAAACCCACTAGTGCAGAGGACACCGGTTAGCGGCAAGCCGGGCGATGGGAAAGAAGGAGAAGACCATGAGAAAAAGAGAGCAGAGAAAGTGTGGACTGCTGGAAGAACTGCGGTGAACTGGTGAAAGAAAAGTGAAATGGCGTGCTCAAAGATGACCCTGCACATTTAGAGGATGTTTGGCTCAACCTGCTGCTGTGAAGCAGGATTCTCCACCATGAACAGAATCAACAATAAATCTGGATCCAGGCTCAAAATGAGCTCCTTGATATGTGCTTGAGAATGGCTTAGTCTCCGGTTAAACCCAGGTTTAAAGCCTTGCAGGGCAGCCTAAAGCCCCCTGTACGTGAATCAGGACATTGTCTATATACCAAACTGAATGATTGTTGTTCTCTACATTAAAAAACACTTTAGATTTTAAAATGTAAAAAAATATGCTATTTTTTTGTTATATATTTTTTTTATTAAAAAATCCACTTCATGGATGCGTAAAAATCTCATTTTATTTCAGTGTTAAATTCTGTTAAAGTAACAGATTATAATTAAAAATCTCTGGACCTTTACTGGTTGATGATTTTCTTTATTCTGATCCAGCTGATTTTTAATTGGTTACCTCTGATCTAGTGGGTTAACTTATCTCTAACATTAATTCAGGTGCTTAAGAAGTGTCAACATTATGATTTGAGCTAAATAATTACCAATACCAATCTCACCATTTGGAAAACTGAAAATATGAAGTTAATCCTATCCTACCTGACTGAAGTTTTTTTTTCCAGCTTTTTTTTTGTGATCACACTGTCACAAGTACAGAGGAACGAAATTCACTCTGCATGTAACCCATCCCTTTGGAGAGCATTGGGCTGCCATTGTGCAGCACCCAGGGAGCAGTGTGGGGTTAAAGGTCTTTGCTCAGGGACCCAGAGTGGCAGTCTGTGGGAGTGGGTTTCAAACTTACAACCTCAGGATTCCAAGCTATAAGCCCTAACCACTGGGCCACCACTCCCCCAGTGTTTGAGCTAATGTGATAGCACAGGAAAAACTAGAAATCTAACATTGAACATAGACTAACGTGGGACATTGATCTAATTATCTATTTCAGATTTGAACAACTAAGCAGAGACATTTTTCTAAGAGCTGTCTAACTTTTAAAAACACAATAGGGGGATTTTTGTCTGATTCATTTTAGCCTTATTGCAAAATAAAGTCAAACAGTCTTGCAGAGAGGGAGTCTGCAGACCCAGAAAGTAATTAAAATAAAGAACTGGTGCAACTTTAATGAGTTGACTGCCGGCCTTTAAATCAGTGGGCGAGGGGGGGCTTTCTAAACTGAGAGGGAAACCTCTGCATCTCCAACTCCCACGTTTCATTTCCGTTTCAAGCTACTATCTTGTTTCCAGTCCCCCTTTGAGCTCACTTCATCTCTCTAAGATCCTAAACTAATGTCACTATGGATGGCAGAGAATGAAGCTTAGCCCCACTGAAGGGATCCTGTTGGATTTATACCAAGCATTCCTTTCACTCATTCATTACACACTAGGAAGGGTTGATTAATAGCAAAACTGCTGCAAAGGAAAAATGAATTCATCTGCATGGAATGAAACGATAAGAGCGGCTTCGGAAATTAGCAGCTGGATGCTCTGTTGGCTTAGAGACGGGAGAACCAACACCTCTGAGAATCTAGCATAGGAAAAATCTACTCAAGCAGACAAGATTTTTTAATTAGATAACATTTGCTCCATTTTTAAAGATTAAAACTGACTCAAAATATAAGTGTGTATATATACACTACCGTTCAAAAGTTCGGGGTCACATTGAAAGGAAAAGCACTGTACTTTTCAATAAAGATAACTTTAAACTCGTCTTAACTTTAAAGAAATACACTCTATACATTGCTAATGTGCTAAATGACTATTCTAGCTGCAAATGTCTGGTTTTTGGTGCAATATCTACATAGATGTATAGAGGCCCATTTCCAGCAACTATCACTCCAGTGTTCTAATGGTACAATGTGTTTGCTCATTGGCTCAGAAGGCTAATTAATGATTAGAAAACCCTTGTGCAATCATGTTCACACATCTGAAAACAGTTCAGCTCGTTACAGAAGCTACAAAACTGACCTTCCTTTGAGCAGATTGAGTTTCTGGAGCATCACATTTGTGGGGTCAATTAAACGCTCAAAATGGCCAGAAAAAGAAAACTTTCATCTGAAACTAGACAGTCTATTCTTGTTCTTAGAAATGAAGGCTATTCCATGCGAGAAATTGCTAAGAAATGGAAGATTTCCTACAACGGTGTGTACTAGGGATGCACGATATAATCGGCCCCCTATCGGTATCGGCCTTAAAACTGAATATCGGACATCGGCCACCCCACCAATATTTAACCCGATATTTGATCATCTTCCGAGTTTCTAAAGTCTAAAAAATAAAAAAATAAATACTACTTCTTCTTCTTCCTCAAAAACTTCTTTTTTACAGACTTAAAAACTTAAAGACGAGGGAAAAAATATTGATCCATTAAAATATCCCAATATCTTCATATGCTGATATATTGCCATTTAAAAACACCATATCAATCTCTTTTACTAATGAAATATTGCTATATGTCATCGTTATGCTACGAAATCCCCCGAAAATCCACAAAATTTTGCCATATTTTTATATGTTGATATATTGACGCGGTATCGATCTATTTTACTAACAAAATCTCACAAGAATTTGGAAAATATCACGAGAGTTTGTAACAGAACGATGACATTTCACGAGATTTTGAAAGTAAAATAGATCGATACCGCGTTTTTAAAAATCAATTTGATATCAGCATATGAAAATATATTTGAGTATATTATTTTTCAAAGTGTCAGAAATGGATAACAAAACTGCTATTTTCAATGACTACTTATTTTTGTCCAGCTTTAACATCGGTATCGATATCGGTTATCGGCTACATGAGTTTTAAAATATCGGCATATCGGATATCGGCCAAAATCCCAATATCGTGCATCCCTAGTGTGTACTACTCCCTTCAGAGGACAGCACAAACAGGCTACTGCAGGTACTATTTAATGAAGATGCCAGTTGGGGACCTGTGAGGCGTCTGTTTCTCAAACTAGAGACTCTAATGTACTTATCTTCTTGCTCAGTTGTGCAACGCGGCCTCCCACTTCTTTTCTACTCTGGTTAGAGCCTGTTTGTCCTGTCCTCTGAAGGGAGTAGTACACACCGCTGTAGGAAATCTTCAATTTCTTTGCATTTCTTCAGAAGAATGATGCTTAAAAAATAAAATTGGACAAAGATTATGGTAAATAAAATACTAAATATGAGCCGACCAAAGCATCACAGTTGTCTACAATCTTTTGACAAGTCAGTGGCTTAAATATGGTGCTCCAGGTCACTGTTTGGTGACATGGTGTGTACCACACTCAACATGGATGTTTTTATGTTGTTGGCATCTTATCAGTTTGTTTCTACTCTGTTCTCTCCTGCAGAATCTTGTGTAATGTTTACTGTTTTATCTGTCTTAGGAAAGCGGATGGAAATTAGCTGTTGTGCTAATTCTGGCATATTTAAATCGATGCTTTAATGTTGTGCATTGTCCTAATTCAAACACATTAAAAAAACTAATTTTCAATTATGTTTCCATAATATTTACCTTTCTTATAGCGCTTCTCTGAGTGAATACTTACCTGGATTGTGTGATCGTACTGTTTTACATGTTAGCAGACTTAAAGAAAACTTTTTGGCACTATACATATGAGTACTTTCACTTGATTCTTCCTCTGTTTACAGATATCTTATATATCTAAACAGAGAGAGAAGTGAGGAGGATTTTTTTTTTAAACACCACCCAGAACGATCCATGAATTGCTCTCATTTAAACAAGAAGCGGAGAAATAACTACAAAAGAAATATAATAAATGCAATTATTTATAAGGGGTTATAGAGGAAACAAAAAGGGCTTCCACAGCATAAATCCAACCTACAGGGTGTTAAATCAATGCCTTATTGAAAAAGGGATTGCTAATACAGAGCAATGACATAAAACGATGGTTAGATGCTACGTTAAATATCCCTCCTCCTTCCTTCCATGGGTAAAATGTCCTGTGTTACAGCAGAGTAAAGACTGCTGAGCTCACAAATAACTTAATGGAGCTCAGAGTGGAGCAGAGCTTTATTGAGGGCTTTGCCTTCGTACAATGGAACAATTCAGTGTGGCGGTTCTCTAATTGTCTTATTATCTCGCTTCCACTGAGGGCTGAATGAGAGAGCCACAGCGGGGCCGCCCTCAGGGCCTCTGCTGGAAATCTGGAGTTCACAGTGCTGCACAAAAGAACTGATCTCTATTTGCTGAGATTCCTTCCTCTGTTTGTGTCTGTAGAAGCTGGTGCAATTTCACGACATGCCTTAAAGCGGCTGTCTCTCCCAGCTGCATCATTATTCTCTCTTCTATCTCCATCGGTGAAAGAGCTGATCGAGGCGGTCATGGAGTGAACGAGACAGACTGAAGCAAATGAAAGCGGTAAACATTGTGTAATGCAGTCTGTCCCAGGAAGAGGGAGCTGTTCTCTGTGGCAGCGGTTGGACGTTGCCTTTATTCAACACCTCCTTCAAACAGAGTTTTATTTTTTTAGCAGAAACAGGTGATATTTATTAACCTGACTCCGCCAGATGGATTTGCTCCGCATATCCATCTGGAAACCTTCCGTTGAAGTAATTTTGGGAAGGGGCGAAAATACTGGTTAGCTGATTGGCCTATGTTGGTGATAGACGGGCCAAATAAACCAATCAGATCAACGAAGCATATGACGTACTAACAGAGCGACGACGAAAACACAACCACAAGTCGAAGCAGTTGGGAGAAGAGCAAAAACATCTTTTCCTCTGAGAAAAGCCTCCAGAGCAGTGTTTTGCTCTTCTTTCAGTGAAGAAATACTCTGTAATTCCGATAAAACGTGCTCGATAGCCACGCTAATGCTAGTTTCATCGGCTGAAGCCGCCATGTTCTTTAGAATGAACTGTCGCGCTTCTCGTTGCGTCACACCTCAACCCGCCTCAAAGCCAACGCTGATTGGACGTCGCTTGGTGAACGGCTCCAAATTTTCTTTAACGGAGAGTCTCCAGACTGATTAGCGAGTGAAACCTTGAAAGCTCGCGAGATCAGGATGGTCTCACGAGGCTAGATATATAATGGGGAGGTAGCATAAGGATTAAGAACCATTTGGAATCATTTGACCTGGTGATGGCAGTGTCATGCTATGGAGTTACCGTTCTTTATGGGAATTCCTCTGTTTAAAAGGTCATAGCTACAACTTTTTAAATACAATCCACATAAATGGTATATAAATAATTTGATGAATTTTTTATGGGATCAAAACTAGGGATGCTTTTTTGCCGATATTCGATATGCCGATATTCCAAATGCTCAATTTTCGATTCCGATATAAGCCAATACCGATATCAACTAATTTCACATCATGCCAGTCACAAAATTTAAACATAACCTACATTTACTGTGATGCCCCACAACACACTGTGTATTCCACAAACATACCTCAGGAAAAAGCCCCAATATATATATTCAAACAGCGACTTGCAAGGGAAGAGAGGAAAACTGAGTTTTGAGTATTTTTTAAAGACCTGGAATTAGATGGGGCATTATGACAGCTGTACAAGCTGTTGTGTTTGGCTGCCATAATCGGCTGGTGTAGATCGCAGCTTCTCTTGCTTAAGTGATGTCCTACCCTTGGAACACAATGGACCATGAGAATTAAAGCAAACTTGCTCTACTGAGAGGAGCCTGATCAAATCAATGGAAACGATGGCCAGTTGGTACGACAGGGTCATATAACATTTCCTGAAAAAGGAGAGAAAGGCTTATTTTGTTTATAAATAATGTGTTTAATTGTGCAAATTGTTATGTCTGGATTTACTTTTTTTAACATATTTTTTTAAGGCTTCAACAGCGTTTATTTTGTTATCTATTTTTTTTATATTTGGCAGAAAGAAAATGGTCAAAAGTGTCAGGACTCAAACCTCTGAACATGGGTCATGCTAAACTTCTGCACCACTGCCGCACCCCACATCTGGATTTAACAGCCTCCCATATTTTAGAAACCAGCAGCCTCCTCATAAACCCATCACTAGTTACAGGTGATCCCCACAAGTTTAACTCTGACCAGCTCCAAAGTGGCACTAACCTTTGCAAATAATGACCTAAAGGCCAGAAGGTATGCAGCAACCTGTGCCTGGAATCCGAGCCCCTTTAATTTTTTTAAGTCGGCAACAAACCTCAGAACTTGGCCCTCAATATGCTTTTATTTATTTATTTCCCTTTTTTTTGGCTTAAATGTAAGAAATGTAATGCCTTAACTTCATCTCACATGACTTCAACCTACCGTTCCTATTGGTGCACAATCCTTTATGTCAACACTGGCATCGTAACCAGAAGTAAATATAGAAATATATTTTGAACCTCTTAACATCCACCTATTTTGCTTACCCAAATGGAAAAACTGTAAGCCCAAATTACATGTGCAATACATTATTTGAAAGCTAACGCCCTCTAGTTTCCTAATATATAGATTATATATAAAAAAATATATATATTTGGGTGACTAGAAAGCAGACCATCCTGCATTGGTTCAAACATGACTCAAGGTTGTTATTTTATTCTCGGAAATGATAGGTCTTTTTTAAACAGCAGTTATAAAGACATTCTTAAGAAAAAGCAGGTTTTATTTTATTATATTTTTCTACATCATGTCAACCACAAATGCAGAAAATTTCAGACCTCTAGCTATAACAGTTCCAGAGCTGTGGGGTTTGGAACTTTTGGTGTCAGATTGGAGCTGCAGTGGCTCCACCTGCTGGTAAAAAGTTTACCGGAGGAATTTTATGCATACTGAATTATTACCCTCGCTTAAAGCTACAGTGTGTAATAATTAAAGGGATATACAGTCAGAAATGTAATATATTATACATAACTATGTTATTTATCATCATCTACGAGCTCAGCCTCTTAACCTTAATATTTGTGTTGCCTTAGAATTCGTTATTTATAATTACATAGGAGCCGGTCTCGCAGCCATGGAGGCAGACATCTTTGCGCTACGGCAGCGCAGAGCCAACAAACTAGCGATTGCGAGATCGCCAAAATGTCACAACGATGTAGAAAAAATAACGGGTATATTTATTATCTTAAGTCTACATGAAATCTATACCCTACACAGACTAATGAAATACTATCTGTAAAATTATCTATGTAAACAAACCTCATCACTTGAGAAGGTAGGTGATGCGGACGTCGTGGAAGACATTTTGTCCCGTAAAGCTCGCCGTACTGTTGGGGGGGAGAAGCGGAGGGGGGGAGATGTTCATGTTGCTGCAGTCTGCAGTCTGACCGCTAGATGTCGCTGAAAGTTACACACTGTAGCTTTAAGTTCCACCTGGTCGCCGGCGACCCGGTGGATTTTAAGAGGTTAAAGGTTGAAACAAGAGTGGGTGAGAGCACCACCTGCTGGCCTGGAGGTGTTAAGCTGATATATCAGACAGTTTGGGCCAAAAATGTTTGGCTGCATCAGTAACAAGCTGAGGGACGATTTTATTATTGAAATTAACAATAAAATAGCTTCAAGAAATAAGAAAACGCAATATTTAGGTGGTGTAACCTAAAAATTAGTGCATATATGGCATATTTGATTGCTAATTCATCAAAACATGCTTCATGTAAGCAGCACCTTACAGACAGGTACATTAATGCAATGCTTCTGTTTTCTCTGTAACATTTAAGTCCACATCCAGTCTGCATATCTGTGCAGGTTTGAGCAGAAACCGTCCAGAAAGGCATGAAGTTTATATCAAACCACTCCACGGTGTGTTCCAGTCCATCCACAGGAGTGAGTCAGTGGGAGTCTGAGCTGCAGCTTCAGCCACTGGTTCTACACCAATTTAGCCGTAAGGGGCCGCTCTGGTTTTTAATTTCATTCCTGCTGGTTTGATGGCGATGCTTAAAGTGCCGGCTGCTGTTTGAATCGTTGATGCATAATTATACCGTGGAATAATTAGCAACAACTAACCTTCAATTCGAGTACATTTACGCACTTAGGGAAAATCCCATGTTCACAAAAAAGAGCTTTATAACCAAATCAAAGATGCCGACCCTAACAAGCCGTGTATAAAACATTTAACCGTTTTTAATTGATCAGAGATTAAACCTCAATAATAAAAAATAAACTGATTTACCAAACCTTTAACCTGGGCGATGATAATAATAAATGCTAAATAAATAGGTAGAAAAGCCCTGAATGGGGAAAAAGTGAAGTACTCTCAGGAGGAAACTCACGGCGTTCATGTCGATGCCGTTGGTGTAGGACCAGGCGTGCTGGAAGTACTCCTCCAGCCGCTGCCGCAGAGGGTTGGGGATCTGGTGGAAGCGGATGAACTCCCTGACTCTCAGCATCTGGGTGTGGTAGCGGGCCGTCCCTGAGTAGAGCCGCTGGATGATGGCTGATACGTTCCCGAAGATGCTGGCGTACATCAGGGCTGGAGGCGTGGGGGAGAGAAAACAGACAGGAAATCAAATACAACCTATGATCCTTCGCAAGGAAAAAAAAATAAAAAATTCCCATGAAATATTCAAAATCTTGACGAGAATGAGTTTCTATGCAGACGACATCCTGCTGTTTGATCTTTCCTCGATGAACCATCAGTATCTTTCCATCAGGTGGGATCTCACTGACCTCTTAACCTCTGTCAGCTCACAGCACTGGCTACATAACCGCTGCAGTTTCTATGGCAACGGCCTAAACGCACACATACAGAGAGACCAAAAAAAAAAAAAAAAAACCTGCTCTGTGCGCAAACATTTTCTTTAAACAATATAATCAGATTGGAAAGTTTTATAACACTGTTTTTTACTGATAGGAATTTTAAAAATTCTGCTGTCAGTTTGTGTAAAAAAACACAAAAGAAGCAAAAAAAAATCCTTTTGGTTTAACGCTTTGGACAAAATTTGGGATAATTCATTTTGTAAAATTCAGCCAGATTAAAGCGGAACTCACAAAAACTCAAGGGGGTTTTTTCACAGGAAATCAGGCAAAATATTACAATTTTAAGGAAAAACAAAGATTTATTTAAAATAATAATAATAATAATAATAAAAAAAACTATTACCGAGGAAATCCAAAGTTTAATTCAATAATATTTCAATATAAATGATAAATAAACCAAAAAACCTTCACAACCAGTTTATAAGTAAACTCAAAGTCTCAATTTATATCCGCAAAATACAAACAAAAACATCGCTAATAACTGAAAGTCCAAAACTGTCCGTCTCTTTTTTCTTCTTATAATAATGTCCCAACAGGAGTTCCATACACTTCGAACCCAAAGTAAAATCCTGGAACCGTTTCAGTCCAAAGTCTTTTGCAAAACGAAAAATCCAAACAGTAAACCCGCCCCAAAAAAAGATTAGAAAAAGAGTGGTACCACCAAAAATCCCCAAAAAGAAAAATAAGGTCCAGATCTCACCGGAGCGTCCTTTTTTCCCCCTGGGCGGCGTCTCTTTGCACCGGGCGGCGTCCTCTGGGTGCAAACTCCGACAATCAGTTTACCTCAAATCTCTGCGGTGATCTGCGGCGCTGGGACAAACTCTGTCCGTGGTTCATCTTTCTTCCTTTATTTTTCGATTTCTTTTTAACGGACAACAAGACAAAATCTCCCGCTGCACAGACCTGTCAGTGCGCGTCTTTCTCACCTGTCGAGCCGCCCGCGCCGATGCACACACCCCTTTTTATTCAAAAATGTTTCCACACCAAAAAAACCCAGCATATTAATTTACATCATCATTTTTTAACCAGTGGAGTTTTGAAATAATTTTATCCAAGACATAACTGTTCTACCAGACAGTATATCATTGGTACAGTTTAAAGTGCTTTATACAAAAGGTGAAAAAATAACATAGTGGTTATGTTACAATCCCCCCCCCCCCCAGCCGGAGGCAAAGGAGGTTGAACTCCAAAATAGGGCTTTAAGTTAACCACATTAACTATCTCTGTGTGCTGGTCTCTCCACTGGAGC